CATCCCCTTCCCAACCCCCCCCAAAGACGGGCCCAAAGGCAACCGGGACCCCCAGAAGCAGGACTGGATCATGCCAGCGACGAGAGACACAGGCAACAACCACCAAGTAAAACCAGAGCTCCCTCATTTATTAGCAGTTCGTTCAACAGGACCTTACACCAGTGCCTGGGAGCCTTCCCCGACGCAGCCCCACAGAGGGGGAGTGGGAGGTGCAGATCTCCATGGCCCCACACAAGGCTACACAGGGGCTCCTGCTAAAACAACCAGCTCCTGCATCACCTGGGGCAAAACACCAGGTACCCACCACTGCCCTGGCCCTGCTCTGGAGGCGAAGGAAGCACCCTGGGCACTGCATTCCCCTCCGGTGGGAACCACTGCCATCCTGCATCCTGCAGGGCAGCTCCATTCGAGGGGAAATTTGGGCCCTTATCCCACTAAACCCGTGATGGCTCAGTCTTGTCTGCCAGCAAATCCCAGGGTGTGGGAAAGGCAGAGCCAAGGCTGCAGCTCTATACGGCACCACCGGTATAAAGATGTGTCTCCCACTGGGAAACCGTTCCCTATTTCCCCACTGACCTTTGTCCACATCACGTGTAACCACCAATGAGACCATGTAAAACCCTCGGGGTTTAGGTACAAATTCTGGCACTGAAGAGAAACAACCCCCTGCAAAACGGGAACCAAATGAACCCTTCCCCCTCCCCCCTAAAACCCAACGTTATTAAAATACTTTTGTTTTTAATATTCAAGAGGTTTGAAGTTCTCAGCATCCTTCTGATTGCCGTTATCCCAACGTCTGCCCTGTCCCCAAGCTCTCCTCCATGCCAGGGGATGCTGGGCACCACTTGGCTTTACCACAGGAAACACCACGTGTGTACAAGATTGCAGGGTGGGCTTGGGGGTCAGGAGTGTGCTGGGACCAGCACACTGGGACCAGCATGCCAGCCCCTTATCCTGCTCGGCTGCAGTCCCACCACACTGCCCAAGGAAGGGGAGCCAGAGGCAGAGGAGCTTGAAAATGAACAGAGATTTCAGAACAAATGAAATCATGCCCAAGTCTTTGAAAGGAACATCTGCCTTGTTCGCAGCTTTTCCAAGTAGGCATTGGGGGAATCCAGCAAACTCTCCTGTTTCCTGCCATGGAGCTGACAGCAGGAGTGGGTCTTGGTTCCTCCATGCTTTGGGTTTCCACCAGCTCCATTCCTCTGCTCCAGCTTAGCAAAATCATCAGCAGCACACCCAGAACAGCTCCTCCATCCTCGTACTAGGAGATGAGGGATGGATCTGCTGCTGCCTTTGGGCCCCGGAGAGTTGGAGCCCATTTGGGGCAGAAAAAGGGGGGATTTATGCCACTCCTCTATGTCAGAGCAAGGCGAGAAGGGAGCAGAAATTAAAAAGGAAAAATAAAATGAAACAGATGTGGGACAGGCAGAGAGGTGGCAGCACAGGGACTGCGGAGTTGGACTGCTGCTTGGGCAGCCTCTGGCACAGCTGTATGCTCCTGCAGGTCCCCTCCAAGCCTCTGGCACAGCTGTATGGTCCTGGGAGTCCCCTCCAAGGCCGCAGCCAGGTATTGCTGAGAAGGTCCTGCCAGTGCAGGGGTCAGCCCCTCTCAGGTATTGCTGGGGGGCAGCGGCGGCAGCTACCTGGTGCTCTGCAGTTCCTCCCGCAGCCAGGTGGGCAGAGTCTGCCCCATTTTGTACAGGAGCTTGGAGAGCTCTATGTTATGGTCCCTGTAATAGTCCCGCAGGAAGGCGCGTGACTGTAATGGGAGAACAAAGAGGAGGGTCAGGGGGACCAGCCCTGAGCCCACTGCCCCAGCACAGCCCCCAGCCCTGCTCAGGACCATCCCAGGAGGCTTTCTGTGTACTCACATCTGAATCCATCTCGGGGTACTTCCTCCCTTTGCTCTTTCCCAAGCATTTTGTTTTCCCTCCATCCAGAAGCTGACACCAGAATCCTTTCTTTGGATCAAACCTGTGAAGCAAGAGTTCTGCCTGACCCTCCTTGCTCCCACACCTTCCCCAGGCAAGCGTCCTGCCCAGCAACCCCTGGTGCTGCCCATCCCAGCACCGGGCACTTCACCTCTGGAACCCACAGCCCAGCTAACATCTCATTACCAGCTCCCTGGTACAACAGGTTCCCCCTGCAGCTATGCAGTAAGTAGCCCACCAAGGCTCACTCATCACCATGTCACACTGCTCAGGGAGCATGAGGGTGTCTGCCTGGGTTTAATTACTATTTTCTGTGGCACCTTTGTCCCTGGATGCCCTCAAGTGGCCCATGGCACCTGGGTGCAGACTCAGAGTGGTCACATATATAGGCAAGTCCCGGCAGAAGAAAATTACTATTTTCACAGGTAAGTTATTATTTGTCTAGGAGCTTTGGAGGCTCTTGTTTCCCACAATGGGGTTAAATGTCTGGAAGGCTAGGAGGAAGGTGACACCTGTGGAGGTGCCACACGGCCAGCAGCAAAAGCTGCTCTCATGCATGCACGAGGAGGTAGGGTGCCAGGGCTCAACACATTCACCTGCATGACAAATGCACACCTGATCTCTGCTCCAGGAATCCAGAGCTGCTCCTGGGCTGCCCAGAGAGAGACCACCATGGTATCTGGATAAGCCTCAGAGGAAAGCTTGTCCTTATCAAAACCAGCAGCAGCTCCGTGGTGAGCTGGGGCTCACAGATAGCTCTGGTGTGCTCCCCCTGGACAGCTCTGGGTGTCCTCAGGGTAACCCACTGTGTGGAAGCAATGGCAGGTGGAGGAAGGTAAAGACTCACGCCAGGGTCTTGTGATAATCGATGAAGTTGGTCACGCCGAGGAATTTCTGGACTGTCTCCATCACTTTGGCAGGTTCCGTTCGGAGCAGCTTGCCATCCAGCACCAGGATCTGCCAGGAGCAAAGCAGGGTGGTGAGGTGTGGCTGCCTCCCAGTCCTGCTCTCCTGGGGCATGACAACACCTTTGCTGCACCTTCAGCCATCTCAGAGCCAAATCTGCCACCAGCCTGCACAGTGTCCCCAGCTGCACACCAGTGTGCCCTGGTGTTCCCTTATATTGGATGCTGGAAAATGAAATGCAACTAAAAGCCAGGGCTAGGACCCACCCAGGACAACATCAGAGCTTTGGCACAGGGCTGCCCAACCCACAGCCAGTCAGGATTGCAACACAGCAATTATACCAGCAGAAGGCAAGTAATAGACTTTACAAGACTGACAGTGGAAAAATCATTCAGGGATTGATCCTGTATGCCCCAGCAGTGCTGCACTCTGCAGGTCACAGCAGGGTTGGCCTCCAGCTCCCGCTTTCCCTGCAGGCATGGGCAGCTTTGCCTATCACTTTTGTCCTGTTCAACGCCGTGGTGACAACCAAAGGGCAGCCCTGTGGGGGTCTGTGGCAGAGTATGGGAAAATGTTGAGTGACTCTGCAGAGCCACCCACAGCCCTCCACCCCACGCTCCCTTTCAACCCTGTGACAGAGGACATGCACAAGGACATCCTCATTTGTTGTCCATCACCAGCCTCACACTGCAAGGGTTCCCTTCTTGCACAGCATCTTCCCTCTGCCCCTTCTCCAAGTACTTTTACTCTTCCTCCAATAGTTTTAGGCTATAAGAAAAACAGCTTCCATTGGAGCACTCCTGCAGTGGGCCTTGGATCCAAGACCTCTTCCCCCCACATCCTTGCCTGGGTGAGGAGTCTCCCTGGGTGCTGTCACTGTGGAATGGTGTGCTCCATCCCTACCTGGTTGGCATGGTAGCTGTTCAGCCAGCGCTCGATGTGGGTGGCATACCAGCCTGGCACCAGGCAGCGGTTCTGCAGGGTCCGGAGCTTCGGAGCAGCCTCGGGTCCTGCTGTGATCACCTCGTGGAAGGTGTATTTTAGGGCAACTGGGTCATCGTGAGCTCGTTGGTGCTGTCAGGCAGAGCATGGCAAGTTTGTTCCTGAGGTAACCCAAATTCTGGGCTGCCCAGCTCTCAGGCCACCACACCATGTCCTTGCACGTCTTGTTCAGCCACCCCACCTCCCAAACTAAGCTCCTTGCCCACTGCCTCATGGGATTGCCTGATCCAGGGCAGAGGCAGAGGCTCACCTGATACCAGGAGTAGGCTCGATCCGCAGGGTTGATGAGGATGGTGATGACTTTGGCCTTGGACAGCAGGGCTGCAGCTCGCCGTGGAGCTACTTCAGAGTCAAAGTAGTTGGCACTTTTCTCAAAGTAGAAGTCGGAGGTGGTGTTGGAGGGGATGGGGAAGAACTCCATGTACCTGGGGGAGGCATAGTGTGAGGCTGGCAGACAGGCACCACGAGATGTCCCCAGCACCCTCCTTGCAGGTGACATCGTAGGTGAGAAAATCCACAGCACCACTTCTCCCATTCCCAAATGAAGTGGCATTCCCAGCTCAGACACCCACCAGTCGATGCCCTTGTGATAGTTGTGTCCATTGAAGAACTGTATCTCCTCAAAGGTCTCTGAGCTTGGGTAGTTGCTGCTCAGGTCCGGGTGCATCCCCAAGAAGAGATAAAGGGCAGTCGTTCCTTCAGAAAGACAGAAAGCAGGAGCTGACATGGGCCAAACCTCCCCCTGAGCTCTGCTTCAGGGAAGGAGGGCTGAGAAAGCCTCTCTGGGGGTGGGTGAGGTCCTGTCAAGCCTCCTGGCATGCCCACAGAACCGAAGGTGAAGGGAAGCACCTGTTTTTTGAGGCCCAATAATGAGAAGCTTTGGGAATCGGTCACAGGTCTTTTCTTTGGACCAAATGTCTTTGTGCCGTTTGTCTTCACAGGGATCCTGAAACAGAGTGGGGAGGATGAAAGATAGGGCAGCCTGGATGGGACTGCACACCACTGCTCAAGCCCCTCCAGCCTGAGCAAACACATAGGGAGGCCACACTGTTCAGCAGACAGGACACAGACTGGGCTTATCCTCAGGTCTGTGGGGCAAACTCCTTTCTGGCCCTGCCTGCAGAACCAAAGAGAGGTGAAAAACCACTGCTTACCCAGGGAATCTGAGAGAAATTCAGGTTGGAAGTGACCTGAGGAAGTCATTTAGCCCATCCTCCTGCTCAGAGTGTGGTCAGCTATACCCCATTTCCCTCTCCCAGCACAATAAACAGGGCCATTCCCATTCCAGGCATGGAAGGTACCTGCCACAGTGGGTCCTTCTCCTCGGAAAAAATCTGGAAGTATTTTTGTGCCAGCTGCACAGGTGGCAATGTCTGCAGTTTCAAATTGGTCCAGGAGTTGAGGAAGCGGACCAGGTGCTTGAAGGTGTACAGGCCCAGGCGGTCGTTGCCATAGTTGGACAGATGGGTCATGAAGATGCTGATCTGAAGTGGAGAGGACAGAGCAGGGGTTAGCAGAGCCTCACCCAGCAGCTATCCCTTGCAAACAGCTCCTGACAAAGGACATCAGGGACATGTCCCACAGCAGTGCCAGAACGGCTCTGCATGACACTTGTCTGTCTGTCCCCAGGTAGTACTCACAGGGTTGAGGAGCACAGTCAGGAACAGTTCACCCCCATTGATGATTTTGTCCAGCTCACTGGAGCCACCAGGGTATTCGTTGTAGAAGATGGTGTGCGTGAAGAGACCACAGGTTTGCCGAGGGAGTACCTGGGGCAGGAGAAAGATATGGATGGAGCAGGCAGAGGAACCAGGGCAATGAAATGGCCACACAGCCTGCTCCAGAATTCCACGGCTGGGTCCCCTTCCCCCAAACAAAAAAGCATCTTCAGCCATCGAAGGTCAGGACTAGCTTCACTGCCTCTCACCACCCTTGACTTGAATCCATACACACAAGGGAGGGATGTGAACAGAGGGAGAAGCCAAAAATTGTCCCACATACAGGATGAGCAGAGGGCACAGCCCCCTCAAATCAAAACATCTGAGCTGCCCAGAAACCACCCGCTGCGCTCCTGGGTTTTGGTGGGGGAGGCAAGAGGAGACAAGCACCAGAGACAGAGCCTGGCCACTCACCATGATGCCACTGTGGATGAAGCCGCGACGATAGCGAGCAGGTTTCAGGTGTGGGTACTCCTCTGTGCTTGTCACTTTGATTGACCAAACCTGCTTCCAAGCTTCATACAATTGCACATGGACAGGGTACACGCCCGAGTGGTGAGGGGCCACAGCGTACCCCATGTCAGTGGGGATGCCATGCTCCTGCAGAGAAAAGAGTGGGTGACTGTGGAGACCCCAAAATCACAACATCTCAAACCAATCTCTCCCCAAGGGACTGCCCATTCCCAGCTACAAATTATCTAGTCTTGCCTCTGGAGAGCAACCAGGGCAGGGCTGTGCCTGTGCATCCTCTCCTAACCTGGGCTGTCTCCATGAAAGGGAACCCAGGAGCAGATATGCTGGGTGGACACTTGCTCCTCTGCTTCACTCAAACCACCCTCATCCCTGCCTTCTGCTGGCACCCACAGAACAGCAGCAAAGCTTTTCTGCCAAGAATGAGGAGATATAGCTCTACAGGACTGTAAATTGGTTTATGCCAGTACATATAAAACAGCCTGGAAATTCTGAGCTGGACAACTGCCCAACACAAGTAGAGATGGTCTGGTCTCTCTCTAATTAAGCATCCCTAATTATCACACAATGAATTCAAGTTAGTCCAAAGATTCCTCTCTTAGGCATAGGACCCAATTATTATTACTGGGTCTGGTTCTACTTGTTTGGATTCAACACAGCTGTCAGTCAGTCACAGCACGACCTGGTGTCAGTGTTGGCTTCATCAGGGCCACACAAAGGTCAGCACAAGAGGATAGACAAACCATGACCAAGCCGAAGGTCAGAGCCTGCTTTCATAAACCAAACATGTCCCTCACTGCTCGGCCTGCAGAGGGAGTTTCCATCAGCCAGAGCCTCCCAGCACAGCCACTGCTCCAGGATCCCACATCATACCCTAGCACAGCATCACACTGCGCCAGGACCCCTTCTCCTGTCCTCCCTCCACCCACAAGCACTCCCACCAGCAGCATCTTACTCACGACAGCGAATTTCTTGTTTAAGGTCATCTGCTCGGCAAGAACCGACTGGTTGTGGAAGAGGTGAGGTTGCATGTGGCTCCACATGTGGGGGAACCACCAGAACTCCTTCACATAGGACAGTAGCAGGTCATCGCCTTCATCCTCAGCATCGGTACCTGCAGGCATGACACTCATCATCACCACCAGGCACACAGAGCCATGAGCAAACAGCTGGGGCAGAGGGAGGAGGAGCCCCTCTCGGTGACCAGGTGTCAGGGGTGCAGGGTGGGATATCCAAGGACTCTCCTGAAGCCCTGACATTGGCCTCTTTGAGCACCAACTGGTGCCCCAACACCAGCCATAGAGCACCCACAGGCAAAGCGATGCCCCTTGCCCTCCTCACCTGTATGGAAGAATTTCCCTGAGTATCCCAGGTTGAAGGTGAAGTTTGGGATGTGATTGCGCAGCTCATTCTGCGTGTCGAACAGTGCCTGGAAGAGGGGGAGAGAAAGCAAGGTGACCTCAGCACGTGGCCTCAGGGATGGCTGCCATGGGTGAGCACCCATGTCCCTGAGAGCTTTGCAGGAGGACTCCTAGGGGGACAGGGGATGCTCTGGAGACAGGAAAACTCATCTCTGGAGCATCCCTGAACAAGAACAATTGTCCAGCCCCACACATCCCCTGCCCACCCAGCCAGGACAGCACAACTGCACCTTGACATCTTCCACCTTCATGCGTGTGCCCTCTTTGCCCACAAAGATGTCATCGATATCCACCAGGATGTACCGGTCGAGGGGCAGGGACAGCCTCTTGCCCGTCAGGAAGGAGACAGAGTCCACAAAGACCAGTTTGTGCAGCCAGAAGTTGAGGTTGTTGCCAAACAGCACCCTCTGGATGCCGTCGTGGAGGCCCAGGTCCTGCATCACGGTGGTGTGCAGCGCGGCATCCACACTCATGTGCGGGATGGACTCAGCCGATTTGGTCTTGGCCAGGAGGACTGGCTCGTAGGTGGAGTGGTTGGACTGGAAGACAGTCCAGTCCTCCCCAGGGAGCACACCCTTCTCCACCTCGCTGGGGCGTGTGATGTAGAGCAGAGGCGACTTGGGGTTGATGCTGCAGTCCTTCAGCGCCAGGTTGGAGTGGAGGAAGAGTGGGAAGCCCTTCAGCTGGGCACTCAGCAGGCTGTTCTCGTTGGCCTGTGGAGGGGAGATGGGAGCTGGAGGAGACAGGACACTGAGGACAAGGCAGGGGCTCACCAGGGACACCAACAGCCACAGAAAGAGGGGAGGTGGCTCACCATCCCCAGAGAACTGGGTGCCGAGTCCTCCCCAACTCCTCTCCAGAGCATGTGGTGCTCTTATCCCTCACATACTCAATCTGGCTCATGTCAAATGTGCAGAGCACCCCAAGGCTGTGAGCCCTGGGCAGGAGAAGGGCTGCCTAGCTAAATACTTGCTCATGCTTTTGCTGAACCCCAGCAAGGTTCACTGCTGCGAAACAGGGATGCTAAAAAGCAACTGGCCTGATACCAGAAGTGTGTTTTTACCCTCAAAACACACAAAGGCCACAGAGCCCTTCCACAAGGAGAGGGCTGAAATGGTGCCCTCTGCTAGAAGCCTGTGCCCTGTGCCAGGCTGCAGGTTGGCTCCATACCAATTCAGGCTGCTTGCAGAAAGCATGGCGAGGGCCAAGAACCTGCAAGGCAGCAATACCCCAGAGCCCTCCTGCCCTCATCCAGCCTGGCCTCAACTTGCCCTGTGCACCCCCTTACCTTGAAGAAGCCGATGATGCCCACACCATACTCCACACAGTACTTGTCCAGCAGCTCCCGATTCCAGGCATCCAGGTTGACATACTTGAGGATGTTCTCATAGATGATGAGTGCAAAGCGTCCCCGGTCCTTGTCAGTCAGCGTGGGCATGTCCCCCTTCCCCGGGGCAATCTCTGTCCTGTATTTGAAGCGACTCGACTCCAAAATGGCCACAATCTCCTGGCCCAGCTGGGAGTAGAGGCTCTCCACAAAGACCAGCACCAAGGGGTCCGTGCGGGAAGAGTCAGCCACCTTGAGGGTCTTCAGTGGCAGCAAGCGGGAAGGGGCAACCTTGGGCTCATCGCAGTCCAGCCCCGCCACGTCCCCTGAGGGCTCCAAGCCCCTTTTCCACCCATATAAATAATACGCAGAGACAAAAACACTGAGCAGGCAGAAGGCAAAGAGCAGGAGCAACACCACCTGCGGAGAGAGCTGCCAGATACCGCGCCGTGCCCTGGCCAACACAGTCATCCTTGCATCCGCAGGGCGAGGTGGGGCCCCTCTCCCCTGCCTGCCCCCTCCCCTACGAGCCCTGGGGAGGGGAAGAAGCAACCAACCAACCAACAAAAAAAATAGGCAAAATAAAACTGAATACTAATAAATAAAAATCCTAGCAGGCTGCCTGTGCAGGCTCGCTCCCCTCCAGCAGTCGGGTGTCCCTCGCAGTCCGCTTCATGTCACCATGGCAGAGGCACCGAGAGTTCCCTTGCTGAGCCGAAATTCCTGCGGTGATGGCAGCGTTGGTGGCAGCAGCAGCTCCATGGCCTCAGCGGGGCGAGGGGGCAGCGTGCGGCCTCAGCGCGGTACGTGGTGGGCACGTGGGCATGGTGGCTCCCTGATGCTCTGGCTTCACGCGGCGCCCTGCGAGAGAGAGGTGGGATGAGTGGGCAGGGATGGTGCCGGGACCAACGCCGCCGCTGTTCTTGCTGCCAGCACAA